CGGCGGTCTTCCAGGACTGGCTAGAACTGCCCCCGGTGAGTTTCCCGGGCTGTTAGAAAGCCTTTCAAATCTCGATTGGCAAGCCCAACTCATAACCTGCTATGCCACAGGGCTCCGGGAGGACGGATGCTCAGGACCTGCTTAGGATTGGCCACCCTTCTCACCTCAGAGCCCTCCAACTGATTCTCTCCCTGCTGCAGCCAAATGGACACCAGGCCCTGCCCGGAGGCAGGAGGAGGCCTTGCACAACACTGCACTGCATGGGTGACCATGTGCCTCCCACAGCGCCGGCTGCCCAGCCCTGGCTCTCCCCCAGGGCCTTCAGGAAGGGACTCTGATCACTTTGCTGGCCACCAGCTTGTGTGCAATTCTGCTGCCTCTGCCCTCCAGTCTCCTGGGAGGTAGAATGAAAGGGAGGGGCCTTGGTGGCGTGGTGGGCAAGGGCTTGCCTGCTCACTGTAAGGCTGGCAGTTTGAGCCCACAAGACCCTCCTTGGGAGAAAGGACAACAGCCTGGGAAACTCCGTGGGGGCAACTCTACCCTGGCCTAAGGGGTCAACTTGGGTCGGCATCATTCAAGCCAGTGGCCCTGGGCTGGAAGGAAAGGTTCGGAGTAGACGCATCCATTCTCCCCTACCACCATTCGTTCAGCAGCTGTTCACTGCGATTATGGGTCTCTGGTGGCACCGTGCTTATGAGTTGGACTGCTAACCTCAGGGTCAGCAGTTTGAAACCACCAGTGGCTGCACAAGAGGAAGAGGAGGCTGCGTACTCCCATAAAGAGTTATCACCTTGGAAACCCACAGGTTTGACCCGGTCAAACCCACAGTTTGATGGCAGTGGGTTGGGTTTGGGTGACAGAACCACAAGAACAGCGGCTCGAATCCACTAGCCGCTCCGAGGAAGAAAGGTGAGGCGGTCTACTCCCGTTACGATTTATACAGCCTCCGAAACCCTATGTGTCGGACCCGGCTGGATGGCACCGTGTGTCGGACTCTACTGGATGTGTCGACCCGACTGCATGGCACCACGAATCCAGGGTGAACAAGTTCCAGGCCCTGCCTTCAAGGAGCTCAAGCCTGAGAGGAGGCGGGCGGAGTGAAAATGCAGCTCAGTGATACTGAGCAGAGAGGGACTGGCCAGGGAAACTGGGGGGCAGGGGCTGAGAAGCTTCGCAGGAGGCACGGCCCTTACCAAGCTATTGCTGCAGATCTACCTGATGATTAGATTCTAATACAACAAATTCTTTCCAGGAAGACAGAGCTGGGCTTATGAGGAATCTGCCAGCACTTAGAGCTAGCTGCCAACGGAAGAGCAGGCTTCCATAGATGGTGGAGAACCCTGTCTGGGAGGAGCCTGTAGCTTCACAGGTACAAGACTTGGGAGCTGGGGCTGGGGTATGTTCCGAAGGTCCTGTGTAAGTTTATAATGCATGAAGCAGAAAGGCCAATGCCACTCTCTCCCCTCCCCCCATAACACTGCCATCGAGTGGATGCCAACTCGTAGCTTGTCCAGGGTAGAGTTGTCCCTGTTGAGTCCCCGGATTATGGTTTCGAACTGCTGAGCTTGCAGTTGGCAGCCCAAAGCACAACCGCTCTGCCACCAGTGCTCCCTCCCTCATAATGACAGATGGGGAGATTGCATTCCAACGGACCCCACTGGGAAGAGCCCTTCCGGTGTGGAACCGCCACGCGGAGGGAGGTAAACCACACGCACGCACTCCACGCCCCAGCGGAAGCGTCCTCGCTAGCAAGCAAAGGCAGGCAAGGGACAGGGCTCAGGTGTCATAAGGGCTTTTATTCTTATCTCCAGTCGCAGACCTGGGAGGTGTGGCAGGCCAAGGACAGGGCGGGTGCAGTACCCTGGGGGTGGACGCTGCAGGTGGCTCAGGGGAGTGGACGCTGCAGGTAGCTGGCTCTGAGCAGTCCACGGAGTAAACGGGGGATGTGACAATGGCTGGAGCAAAGGGAACAGCCAGAGGCTGGTGAGGGCCTGTCTGGGCGGTCTGAGCACCGAGGTGGCCACATCTTGCTCCCAACACCTGAGCCATCATCTGGCCTCTGGTCCTCTCCACCACAAACAAAAAAGACTGCTTTTCCTCAAATAGCCGCAGGGAGGCAGCAAAGTGCTTGTGCGAAATCTCAACCCACCCAGCAGTGCCCACAGGAGGAGCAGGGAGGGAGAGGGACGGAGCCTTCTGGAACCAGGGTGCCTGTCTGGTCCTGATTTCCGTGGAAGGAAGAGCAGGGGTCAGAAGAAACTCGACTCTTGGAGTTTCCCCCCAAATGATACAGAACGAATCATTCATGTGCCAGAGAACTAGGGGAGGCTTCCACGGGCCTCCCTGGTCCTACAAACCACCGCCCATAGGAGGGTGGTCGTGGGGTGTCTCATCGCTCTCCTCTTCACCAGACCACCACTGGCCTCGAATCCCAGGGGTCCTATTCCTGGCTGCCTCTGCCTTCGTACAATTCCACCTAGCCCTTCCCAGGCCCAGCCCCTGCCAACAATGTGAGGCCTGCAAATTCCCTTCCACCCCCTTAGCCTGTGGCACCTGCCCAGCTCTGGTTTCTCCTAATCCTGCATTCCTGCCCTCCGCCCTTCCTCTTCCCAAGACCCATCCAGGTGTTTTGGCAGCTCCTCGCTGCCCAGACCAGAGGTGGGACACAGGGACCTGGGCTCTCTTGCATGCTCAGGCAGCAGCGCTCGACCCCTCCCCCTTCTCCTGACCCAGCGTGCCTTCTGTCTTCAGCGGACTGTCACCCTTCCCAGGGCTGTACAAGATGGTGGGGACAGCAGCCCTGGTCTTGTGTATCTCGGAGGGAATGCCCCCTCCCCCAGGTGTGTGGAACCCAGTCTTGGAGAAGCTTCTCCATCCCCATTTCTGCATCCATTATCCCAGGAAGGGGCAGACTCAGGGAAGTGGGTTCTGGGAAACATGACCAGGAAAAGGCCTGGGTTGGGAGGTAACCCCTTTAGAATCTGAGGCACAGATTTGGGGGAACTTAGTCGGCGGGGGGGTGGGGTGGGGCAGGTGGTATCTCAAGGGGTCCTCACCGGGCTGTGGGATAGCGCTGGGCTTTGCAAGCTGCATGACCGGTCACTCAGACCCACCAGCTGCCTGAGGGAGAAAGATGAGGCTGTCTGCTCCGGTGAAGATTTACAGTCTCAGATGTGCTTATCTAAATAGGGTCGCTGTGAGTTGGGAATCGAATGCGTGTCCTAGAGCCTCCCTGACCCCTTCCAGTCCAGCACATGGTCTTTCGTCTCGCTGAGAGGAAAACAGGATCACAGAGAGAAACACTCGCCTGCTGCCAGGGAGGATGGGAACCCGTGAACGGAGGTCCAGAGAAGGACGGGGCTGTCTGCGTCTGTACAGATTCAGCCTCGGAAGCCCCAGGGGGTACTCACTCTCTGTCCTCCAGGGTCAGAATGGACTTCGTGGGGTGGTTGGTTAGCCTATGCCCGGGTAGGGGGTGGGGGGTGCGGGGAGATGGGAGGTGACACTGGGGACAAATCCTCAGAGACAGCAGGCCTCACCGCTGCCTCTCTGGGCTCCCAAGCCTCCTCTCTCGGGGTTCAAAACCAGGCTTTTGAATCAAGCACCATGAGTCTGGGGTTGACCTTGGGCTCCTTACCAAACCTGGGTTTTCTCTACGGTCACGGGACCACGCAGAGCAGGGACTTGTCAGGCTGCAGCTGTGACGGGTTAGTCCAGACCAGCATCCAGTGGGCAGTCCCCCATGCTCAGAGATCGTCTGGATCTCTGGTCCTCACCCGACTCCTCCTATATCCCTTCTCTCTTCCAATACCCACGATGAAACAAAACTTCAAGCGCTCTGACAGTGTTTCTTGAAAGCCAGGCATAGACAGGAGTCAGGCAGGGGACGGATGGATAAAGTACACCTAGTCACCCTGTCCAGGGGCAAACAGAGCCCCCTGTGCTGGGATGGGGAGGAGAGCCCAGAGGAGAGGTCCAGGGAGGAAAATGTCCCTGCTCCACCCAGTAACTTTCCACTGACTCAGAGCTGCTGCACAGGCAGGCTGCATGGTCCCCCCAGGCACGGGCCGGCTCCTCCCTGCAGTTGCCCAGCGGAGGGCTGACGCACACTGGGCCTGAGAGCCCAGCCACCTGGAGGCTGATAAGGCGTGCAGGCCTCATCACATGGGACCAGCCGAAGGCACTGGCCACCGCTGTTAACATCAGCTGGGCAGCTTCCAAACTGGGAGATGGAGCGATAAGGAGGGACTCTGGGCAGAGTGACCAGGAAGGCTGGGGGCAGGCAGGGCTATAGACACTGCCAATGGAGGCCTCCTCGGGAGGCCTGGCAAGGACTAAGCCAGCCGGTGGGGGAGGGCTCAGGAATGAGTTGGGCAGAAAGGGTCAGGCCCAGCCCTGGGGAGGGCTGTGGCGCCAGCCTAAGATACCCTCAAAGTGTGGTGACCCGGCAGCTAGCACAGCCCTCTGCCCGGGAACACCCAGCCCTCCAGAGACCAGGACACTCAGCCTCAGGCCTTTGGGGGCTGCGAGGAGAGGTGAGCGGGTGTGGGGCTCCATCCTGCAACCCCAAGGCCTTCCAGGATGGATGCTGGCCAGGCGGGACAGCGTCAGCGCAGAGCCCAGGCCTCGGACTGGCTGTCTTGCCCCTATCTCCCTCGGGGCCCCAGGGCAGTCCTCCACTCCACCCTGCCTCCTGTCCCGCTAGTGCAGGGTCTGATCAGGGAGAGTGAGCCCAGGCCAGTGGCGGGTGTACCGACTTCATGTCCCTCTCCTATGTGAGCTGAGAAAGGGTGGGCAGCCACTCTGCCACCCACATGGCCCCACAGGTGCCCCCTTCTTTGCCAAGCATCATTGCCAGGCCTGGGGGTGTGAGGAGGAAGGGAGGTGGGCTGGAAACGGGGCAGCTTGCTCCCCCAGTTCACACAGCTGCCGCATCCTCAGGGGGGACCTTGGTGGCTGTGTGTGTGTGTGTGTGTGTGTGTGTGTGTGTGTGTGTGTGTGTGTGTGTGTGTGTGTGTGTGTGTGTGTGTGTCTCGCCGCCAGGCTCCTGGGGGGCTTTCCCACAGGTGCAATTCTGCTGCCTCCTCCCACTCACCCTAGGGTCTTCAAACCTGGAGGATCGGCTGGCAAGGGCGCCGCCTGCCTGGAAAGTCTGGGATGGGAGGGGTAGCGGGGAGAGGGGGCTGTGCTGGGTAGCCTGGACCTGGGCTCTGCAGGGCCTGAGGGCGACGGCATATGTACAAGCTGGGGGCTGGGCGCTGGCCACGCAGCTAGGTTTAGATCTAGGTTTATGCGGGCTTGGGCTGGGGCGGGCCGGGGAGGGGGGCATTCTCTGGAGGAAGCCAGGCTGGGGTGGGGGTGGGGCACCTCAATCCCTGTCGGTGCCAAAAATCTGCAGGAAGAAGGTGAAGATATAGATGATGTCTAGGTAAATGTTGAGGGCTCCAAAAATATACTCTTCTGGGCTCAGGGAGTGGCGCCGGTTCCCCATCAGCAGCTGAGTGTCAAATGCCAGGAACTGGAGAGGGAGAGGGAGAGAGAGAGGGGCAGAGACAGAGAGAGAGAGAGAGAAAGAGAGAGACCATCAGCAGGCGTGGTTACTGAGACCCTGGCGAAGAGGGTCCACAGTTCTCACCTGATCCCATACCCAATTTTTAAAAAATGGCTTAAAACAACATCCATCTGTTCTCTCCTACTTCTGAAGGCCGCTGTTGTCAGGGACCACTGTCCAGTTGGTTGTGACTCACAGCGGCTCTGAGGACAACAGCCAGCCACACTGCTCCGTCCAAACCATCCCCTCCAGTGCATCGTGCTTAGCTTTGAGCCCACTGCCGGCAGCCATGGTGTCGATCCCTCTTGTTGAGGGTCTTCTTTGTTCCCCACCCCTCTACTTTCCCACGCATGCTGTCCTTCTCCAGGGCTGGCCTCTCCTGATCGCATGCCACACTAGGTGAGGCAGTCCCACCATCCTTGCTGCTAAGGACCATTGTGGCTCTCCTTCTGGAGATCGGAAGTCTGTATTCAGGAACGTGATGGGGCTGAGGGAGGCCTGGTGGTGTGGTAGTGATGTGCTGGGTTGTGATGCGCATGGTCCAAAGTTTGAAGCCACCAGCAGTTTCTATGCCCGTAAACAGTGCCTGGCTCAGGAACCCTCAGGGGTTGCTATGAGTCAGCATTGACTCGGTGGCAGGGAGTGAGATGCTCTTCCAGAAGGGGGCTCTGGTGGCACAGTGGTGACAAGTTGGGCTGCTAACCCCAAAGTCAGCAGTTCAAAACCACCAGCCACTCCTTGGGAGAGAGAAGAGGCTTTCTACTCCCATACAGAGTTACAGTCTCAGAAACTCACCAGGAGCACGTCTACCCTGTCTTCTAGGGTCACCGTGAGCCAGAATTGACTCAATGGCCGTGAGCTTGGCTATGCTCTTCCAGAAGGTTCTAGAGCGAGCAGTGGTTCTCAACCTTCCTAATGCCACGACCCTTTCAGACAGTTCCTCATGTGGTGGTGACCCTGCAACCATACAATTATTTGTGTTGCTACTTCCTGTCATTTTGCTGCTGTGATGAATCAGGCCACCCCTGTGAAAGGGTCGTCCAACCCTCAAAGGGGCTGCGACCCACAGGTTGAGAACCGTTGCTCTAGAGGGAGGTCTTTCCACGTCTATTCCAGCTTGTCAGTTAAAGGCAGAACTCCTGTCTCTAACTCCTTCTTCACCTGTCTTCTGCCGGTTCCTCCGTGTCTCTTCTTATGAGGAGACGCGTCAGACTAGATTAAAATTCTTCCTACTCTAGGATGTGGTGGAAACTAACTTCCACGGCAAAACTCCTCTTTCCAAATGAGGTCGCCCACAGGTACTGGGTAAGGATCGGAAGAGCTCTTTTCGTGGGATGCAAACCAATCCCCGCAAAAGCTCATTTGAGACTCACAGCAGAATACTGTGTGTCCAGGGTCAGCATCCTGAAATTTATCTGCATATTTCAAAGTGATCAGTTAACTGTACTTATCATTGGCCAGTATGTAGCAGGAACCCTGGTGGTGGAGTGGGTGACACACTAGATGGCTAACCACAAGGGCAGCAGTTTGAAACCACCAGCCGCTCCACCGGGGAAAGATGAGGCTCTCGACTCCCATCACGAGTGCTAGTCTTGGCAAGTCCCCGGGGCAGCTCTGCGCTGTCCTATAGCGCTGCTGGGAGTCGGCACGGACTCTGTGCAGTGAGTATTTATCGATGATCGCACCTTTGTAGAAGACAGGTGAAAGGAGGCAAAATTCACAGCATGCTGCGCTTGTCTGAAGTGACGAGTTCTTTATGCACATGGTAAGCATTATTGCTTTGATTCTGTCAGACAAGCGAGCCCCACGCCCAAGTTGGTTCCCACCTGCTGCTTCCATGCTCAATGACCCTCTTGTGACAGTTGGAATCTGGAACTTCTCTCCTTCCCCTAATTAACTTCCACCCCGGTGGGCCGAGCACCTGCTGTGTGTGAAGCACGAAGCGACAACGGGGAGCCGGACAGAAAAGACCCTTCCCCTCGCAGTGCTGACAGAGCAGAGGGGCAGGGCCACCCAGTGTACCGGAGACTGCTAACGAGAGGCCCAACCCAAGAAGCCCTGGTGGTGTCATGGTTCGAGTTGGACTGGGATCCTCAAGGTCCCACGTTCTAAACTACCAGCCGCTCCACGGGAGAAAGACTGCGCTCCTGCCCCCATAAACAGAGACACTCACAGGGGAGTTCTACCCTGTCCTCTCTATTGACCAAGCGCTGGCAGTGATTCTGGGTTTGGAACTGTGGCAGCGACTGAAGGCTTCCTGGAGGAGGGGCCCTGTTGTTGTTGACGTTGCTAGGTGCTGCTCAAGTCAGTTCCCGCTCCTAGCTAGAAACCCTGCAGGCAACAGAATGAGACAGCACCCGCCCAGGTCTCACGATCCGATAATGGTCTGCTACTGGCCATCAGCTTTTCTGCGGCTAACCCCTCTGATGTGGACAGCCTGTCCGTTCTTCACAGACTGTCCTCAGTCTGGAGACTGCTGCCACCTGTCCACTCTGGGCACCCTGCTGGCATTTGAAATACCAGTGCTCTAGCTTCCAGCTACACAGCAACACACAGACCACCACGCTGGACAGGCCAACAGACAATGGGTGATGCTGACGCCCTTGTTTCCTGCTCTCGTTTCCCTGCTCTTTGGGGATAAATGGGTGCTTCAGACAATGGGGAGTGGGGCTGATAGCTTAGGTGCTGTTGGGCAGGAGCGTCCATTTCACCCGATACCATCCGCTCCAGCATGGATGCTGCTATTGCTAGGGCAGATGGAAACCCAGAGTGTAACGTGGTGCGCCCAAGGTCACGCAGCTAGGCAGTGGCAAAGGCAGGCTTTGAACCCAGCAGGCCCGCACCAGAGGTCCCACATTCAACCATCCCGCTCGGTTGTGTGTGGGCAGCCTGGGGTGAGCGCACCCTCCCATCAGGACCCATGTTCTAGCCTAGCGTGCCTTGTTCTCTCACGGACCATGAGTAGCTTAGTCCCTTCGTGGCGGATCCTCTCTGCACGCCCGGCCCCCTACCAGTCCTTGCCACTGTATACACTGGTCCCCGCCCCGCCCGCACAGCTTGCCTCCAGGATCCAAGCCCAGGAGGAGCAAGTGAAACTGGCAGGCCTGGTGCACCTTTCCAGGGAGAGAAGCCAGTATGGTCACAGGTGACGAAGCCCTGGTCACACAGGAGTCGGACTCTGAATCAATCCCATCCTTGTTAACAGGCTGGTGCGCAGCTCTCTGCGGGTGCAGGGTCTTCTGAACTGTGTTTGCGACACA